TTGTCAGTTCATAATTTATCATTCCATTTTGAGTTAATTTTATTAGTTAATATTTATTTGTGGTATTCTATAAAATAATAAAAATTAAGTTTTTTCAGAAATGTTGCCATATCTTAAAAACTAACGATTTTAGGTATAGAACATGCTTAATAAAAATTGAAGTGGACCGATATGTGAATAAAATAGAACAATAAAATACAGTGTTCCATTTGAAAAATTTAAGAAAATCAAGTTTAGACTTTCTAAAAATGATCGTATTATAAAAAAAGTCCTGTATAAAATATCGATATTAGCTAATATTTGTCTATAACTCTGACTAATTATTTTGTTCCAAGTGTTACCTAGTAGCTGGAAGTTAATACAACTTCTTCGAGGTCATCCTTTCTCCAAAATTCGAAGAATTTTCTACATAACTTGGCAACCGCGCACTGACTGTTAATATTGCCATATTTTCTCGGAAATCCATGTGTAAAAATATACAGGTTGTTCCATTTAAAAAATGTAATATTTGGCGTGTCCTGTTTTTTACTCACCACCCTGTATGTATCAAATTAATTTTGTAGTTTATGTTTCTTGATTCTGTATAACTTTTATATAAACTTTTTTTCTATATTATGAGTAACAAGATAGTTATTTTACTTTATCACACTAATGGCTCACCCTGTATATTTAAATTATTTTGTAAGTTTATTTAATAGAAACAAGACATTAAAATATATTATTTTCTGAATTCCAAACGTACTAAATGAATATACGTCACAAGTGTAAAAATATTGCTTAATCCGGACCTGTTCAAAGTATGCGCGGTCAGATTACCTCGCACACTCCACTTCTCCGCAATTTGGCTTCATCGGTTCCCATGCTTTTGGATAGGAAACGTACACGATAGGTGCTCTGTGTCTTCAGTGGTTCAAAATACACGAGAGTATCATAGACGATCAAAAAGTATGATTTTTTTTTTGTGGATCCGTGTTATTAATTAAATTATAATTATACAATTATTCACGTAAACGGCAGATATCGGAACTAGCTATGACAGCACTGTCCTGCCCTTAGAAGACCACATTTTCCTAGGCCATTCAAATCTCAAGCATCATTAGATAGACTTTTAGAGCTACAATTTCTTTTTCGTATTTTTTCCCCGGGTAACCCTTCACCCTGTACAAACGGTTCCAAAGAGGCGACAATTCGACACAGCAAACACGAAGTGTCGCTTTCAAGCACCAATATTATGGAAAATAATGAATGTGACGCATCAAATTGATATTTCCGTTATCAGTGACAGTATCTTGAAAATATTATTGATCGAGAATTTGTTTGTATTTCCATCTGCACGGCAAGGCATTTACGTAACTGCAGAGAGAGGATGAAAGGAGGAACGAAGACTTCAAAGAAGAGCACTATTTTAGCGAAGTGTAGAAATAATAAACGCGATTTACTTTCAGAAATTGTCGGAAAATTTCTGGGTGGCCCAAATCGCAACGTGCATCTGTATATTAAAAAAAAAGGGAAAATCTAGTTCGATTACATAATAAAATCGGTCACAGCAGTTATAAATTTACAAAATGACGGTGCAAAGGTCGAAATCTCAACGCTGGCTTGATAATTGCAAAACAAAAGATAAATCTACGCAAAATCAACTTCTAAAATCAAGCTGTTGTGTAAACAACGTCAAAATTTTTAATAAGTTAGTTTGTTTTATTAGACATACCAGACGTAGTGTCTGAAGTTAGTTATTTGTGGCATTATTTTTTTCTCTATTTGTTTGAGTATTTTGCCCAGTGTGAAAAATTTTTATAAAAAAGCGCCAAAAGAACCATCAAGGTTATTTTTATGAAATTGGTTTTCTCACACTGAGAAAAGCAGCCAAATAAAAAATAACACATACGTTTTTTTTATTTGTCTGCTTTTTCCAATTTAATTTCACAAAAATAACCTAATAAGAAAGGGCCTATTTCGCTAATTTTTCCACGGGTACTAAAAATAAACAAACAAATAGAGAAAAGTATCAAAGATATCATAAAATCTTCATTTCCATTACGAGTTTATTTCTAAAAATAGCGAATGTCCTTTTTTTAGATAATATATCAAATTTCCCATAATTTAAAAATAAGATCGATAAATCATTTTTTTAATCCGATTTGTTTGCTTCTAAATCTGTCCGACTTATTTTTACCACAAAACCACTTCACTTAAGATCGATACAACAAAAAAATAATAATAATAGTAATCAATGAGATTATTATGATATATCCTGTCTAGATTTAGTACAAATTTTAATTCTAAACCGAAAACGAAATAGACTTGGGAATGGAGTATACTTCTTGTATTCTCCAACTCCCGATAGACTGAACCAACAAAATTAAAAAACGTTTTTGAAACGCGTTCTAAAAATACACATGTTTAACTCCACACCCTGTATAAGATCGTCTCCCAATTATTATTTAGGAGAATCTTTCCAGTTGGCACTATAACGCGTCCTGAGACAATATTATTTAATTCCAGATTACTGAAAGTAAATATTTTGACGGTTTATTTTGTTATCATAACAAATATGGGTTTTAGAGACTTCGGATATAATAAAACAAAATTCAGGAACGGTTTTGAGTCACGGCCGTTCAAATTCAATTCAAAATAACATTTTTGAACTAATATATGAGTAGGCGTAACATATATTATTTAAGCAAACATAAACCTAACCTTTTCCAGATTTTCCAAGCCTGTATAATATCAATTAATTTCAGCAGATAGCATCGTGTTTGTTTGTTGAAAAATTGAAAAAGGCTTCATTATCTGCTGTAATCGCGACTGTTATCAGTATTTTCACTTTACTAGGATCAGTGGCGGCTGCGGAACATCGAGTAAAGGGTACAACTGAACCAGGTACATATAATACTCAGGTGTACCAGCAACATTACCTCGAAATGTGAAATAAAGTGAAAAATGTGCATCCCTATCTCGTTTAGTAAATATACAATGATTTCTAGACTAATAAGACAGATTTTTTCATGCTAGAACTAATGCTGAAAACAGTATCTTACTGTTTATTTAATTTCGGAAACAGTTTATTATAGAGATTGAATCTTGATTGATTCTTCTGTTTGAAAAAAATAATTTAGTAACGTTCAGAAGAACTAGGACATCCTATGCAATGGAAAATAATTCTAAAATGTAGAAAAATTGATTTTTATTTTAAACACTTTTTTATGTTATTGGTAGGTATTAAAAGACCTACGGAAAAATCCTGTATACATAACATATAGGCAATTTACATAAATAGCGTGTTTAATTGTAAATTTTTAATAAATTTGCTTTTAGTAATCCGGTTTCTATTCTCATTACCTGTGCTGAATTTTAAATATTTTCTGAATATCATGTTTTTAAATCACCTTAAGGCATTTGATAAATTTTTAAAAAATTGGATATGCTCCCATTCTCTCAACGAAATAAAAACGCATACTTCTTAACAAGCAGCAGCAACGCGAGATATTTTGTTTGGAAAATTTCCAACAAGGAAATGATGGACAATTATTTTTTTACAGTAGCGGCAAATGAACTTTCAACGTTTCAAACCTTTAAAGGACATAATTTTCCTGAAACCCCGCATCCGCCACTGGCAACAATGATGCAAACAGAAATACAACTTATATAATATAATACCTAATATAATAAATGTACACTTCTTCCCACTGTGTACACATTTGATAACGTACATTCACCACAATACAAATCAGATAGAAATATAATGAATAAATATCGTATGGTGCATATAAATCTGGTTATTAAATGAAATTAAAAAGATATGGCACAATCAGCAGCGCTGGAATCCGCTAACTCCATACCTACTTAAACAATATGAAGTTTTTTTACGAAAATAAACACTATGTAGTGCTTTACATTTCTATGCATGTTCATTCGTGTAACTACTGACGATAATATGACATTGTTTATTTATTTTAACATGGCTTTTATCCTTTTATCCGAATAATCGATTCCACAAAATTATGACGAATATTAAAAAAAGCTGGAACATGTAATCAATCAGATTCACTAAAGGAAGAAAGTGTGAACAACAAATGAGATTAGACGGAAAAAAATAATAGGAAGTGAACTAAAAAATGTGACAAATTGGTAGCAGGCCAAAACATTAAACAAATCTTTTTGTGGCATGTATAATATATGACTTAATAAATACGTGTCCTCAAAGTTTCTATTTTTAATGTCCACAACAATCAATGTGTATCATCTACATGTTCTTGACAAACTGTAGTAGGTATTTTATTATAAGGTTAACTTTAGAATTAATTACAAAAGTCAAACAAATCTATACCTACCTAATTTAATTACTACTGGTAATGTTTACTGAAAACATCAGCTGAATAAAAATAATAAAGAATACAAATGTGACTTGAAACGTTATAATTATATAGAATGTAAGAAAAATATGAAAAGTACTGCGTTACAACAAACTGGAAATATCAACGATTTGAATCAACATCTGACTGTTTCAAGTAGGTTACACGTGCGTACATTAGAACTACTATTTAACAATCGACACCGGAAAGACCTTTGTTTACAGACACATCTGTGCCCCGGGCCCGACGAATATTTTTTCAATGCCAAAAACAGCCCGTCCTTGAAATCGAGAAAACAAAATAGACATAACCTCCAAATATTTACATTACGAATTAGCATCCCAGCGATTCTTATGTTAATAATCTCGGGCGCGATGTCACGTATCTGACAAACAAACAAAATTCGCGTCTAATTGTCTATCTAATCCCCGATCACAAGATTCTGTTTAGCACAAGGGGTTTTTGGCCCCAAAAGACCTAACCTCCTTGGCGGTGAAATCAGCGAGGACGTGATACTTGACCGGGGCGGTATGGAGGATAACAGCGACGTGGGTTTGGTCTTTTGGGGCAAAACAACGACCGCTCCGAAGAAAAACTACATGCGTTTTGACAGTAGTCGAGATGTTGATATCTAGATCCATTTACCTTAGTGCGGGTGACAATGTGAGTGGCCAGCTTGACTACAGCGAAATTGCCCTTGCCGATAGTCTTTTCGAGTTCGTAATAACCCACACGCACTAGTTTTTCCACGGGAACAGTTTTCCCGGACATTTTCACTATATATTTTACTATCCCGTCGTCACCACATAAAAATCTACAGGCTACTAGATTTTAGTACGTTTTCTCGCATACAGATCTCGCTCGTCATTTACGTCATCCTGTGACGTCACAAGTACACTGTCAGATCTAAGTCGCGATTTTCTCCTGAAAATTTGATAACGTTTATCGAATTACTGACATATATTTTAATTTTTATCGCACTTAACTTCTGAACTTTTTCTCGCCATATCGCCGACTCGACTGGAGAACGTAAGCAACCTCGTTTACGCGTTAATGTATAATTGGTTGCATATAAATTTTACACGTTTCTATTTTCTGTCTAGGCGATTGTTATCTGACGGGTGTTGGAGTTTTAATAATGAATAAATTATTAACTGCATGCTAGAATGCCAAGTATGACTTTTTTTTCTGATAAAGACGTTGGTACTATGACGCACTACATGGAATTGATAAAATACCTATAATTACGCTGCACATAAAGTGGTACGGCGTTTATTTATTATAATACCCTTTCAAGAAACAGTGGCGTAGTTTCATAGACACAATATGAGATCACCATTAATATTTATTAGTAAAAAAAGTATACAGTAAATGACTTTTTCTTTTCTATTAAAATATACAAAAATGTATAATTTATTTTAAAATGCATTTTAAAGTGCTCTTTTTAAAATTACTAATTCCCAATTTTCTCCATTTCATGACGCAATTAATTGTTGAATGAGAGACATTTTTTAATTTGTATTTCAAATCGATTTCGTTAAATTAAAACTAGGTATGTACTTATGTTTTAAAACCCGGTAAACGAATGCATTTCAGTACTGAAACCTGCCACCACGGCTATGCCCTCCCTTTTCAGTTGACGTCATTCAAATGACGACGTCGATGAATTGTCAGGATTTCATTCTGACATGCTACTGCGCCGCGACACGGAAAATGAGCACAAATATCACATAGAAACTCCTGATGCATCGACTCCGGAGTTGATTCCATCAAGGGGGTTGTAGAGGGGCTATTAACCAAACCCTTACGCCATTCAGGGCTGCACCGTGATTGGTTGGATGTGTGGTCTGCATTTTCATTCGATTACCTTGCTTACGTCATAAATCCTTGGTCCTTTTTGTTGCAATTCTGCATTGTCGTCCGTACAAAGATGGAATTAGTTAAATATACTTACTTTTTGTTTTTTCCACGGTATTCAATAGTAAAATAATATGAATTGTGACTACCTCAAAGGAAATAAGCAGAGAGCAAGGATTTTATACAAGGAGTAATTTACATATAACGAGGTAGTTCATTTAAACCAAACAAGACCTATCATGCACCTACCGTTCACGCTGTCTACCGCCTACGCGCTTTCAGATTTGTCACTTTTGCCGTCAATGTCACTGTCAAGTAATGATAACGTTTAACAGATTTGTCACGTAACAACAACAATAACTGTACGAAAATGATTTAGTTATTGGAAAAATAATCAACGTTTTATTTTACTTTCCTTGTGCCACTTGTCTAAGGTAAGTATCAGTTAAAAAATCCGTTTAGCCTACGTACAAGGTTATGTTTCCCCGAATTTTCTTTGTGTGTAGCCTGATTTTTTTCATGTCCCCGCAGGACCCTGCGAGTTTATGTTTTGTGACGTCTTCTACATATTTAGATACTTTAGAAGGAAAATTAAAATGAGCTTGATGTACAACGAAGTGCCTCTAGGAGTCCGAATATTGCAAAAATTGACCGACAAGTGTTGTCCCAGGTTCCATTTTAACAGAGAGATATGGTAAATCGAAATTTGAATTTTAGAGACCCGGAATATTAACGTGTTTTTTTGTTTCAGTTACCGAGCAAGTGTAGCGTTTTTGACGTACATTGCGTATATGTGCTATCATTTGTCGAGAAAACCCATTTCCGTTGTGAAAACGGTATTACATAGAAACTGTAGCGGTTTATCTCTGCCGTCTACATCAAGCCCTCCAGACCATTGGTGCGACTGGGCCCCCTTCAGTAAGGAATTTTAATTACATTGTGTTATTTAACATGTTATTTAAAACACGCTAGTGATAAAACGACTCATTACATATATTCAAGATAATAGGAGCGAGTATATAATTATCAGTTTTTACAGCTTGTTATCACTTAATATGTTAATTTGCTTGCACGCACTCCTTATCTCCGTAATATAAAATTGTGGACAATGAAAATTTTAATGTAGAAAGAAGGGAGTGGTATATATTTTTATATTTGCAAGAATTTCGAAATTGTTTTGGGAAGTCTCGCAGTAAAATAGTTTATCAGAGTCTGGGGATTAATTTATACGAAATGTTAGTAGATAATGTTATCAATAACAAATCCAAACTTATTGAAAACAATTCTCGTGTTTGCGTTTCATTTGTAAAGTCAAATAAAGTCAATCGAACTATCGTGTTGTATTATAAAATTCTCCAAAACAGTCTATTAATTAATATAATGCGCATTTTTCCTTCTAGATGGCACTGATGCAAACGCTGCCCAGATGCTGGGCGAATTGGATTCCGCCTTCCTCTTTTCCTACGCGGCCGCAATGTTCCTTTCAGGTTTCATCGCTGATAGAGTTAACCTGAGGTATTTCCTGAGCCTCGGCATGATAATGTCCGGCATATTCTGCTATCTCTTTGGCCTAGCCAAGACATATAACATACACCATTTCTCTTATTACATAGTCGTACAGGCAAGTAAACATAAAAAAAGTCGGGATACATTGAGTTATCGTTATTAATTTCAGGCTTTGGCGGGAATTTTCCAGACAACGGGTTGGCCCGGTGTGGTCTCCGTCATGAGTAATTGGTTCGGGAAGGAGAAGCGGGGGCTGATCTTCGGTCTCTGGAATTCTCACACCAGCATAGGGAACATCCTAGGTAACAATAAAAAGTGTTTTTGAATGTCCAGAAACTTTTCGGGTTCAGCTTGAATTTTTTTCCATAGGGTCCTTAATAGCGGCGGAGTATGTCGAAGTGGACTGGGCGTTGTCTTTCGTTATGCCCGGTTTGTATATAGGAGTGGCAGGTTTCGTGATTTATTTATTCCTGGTGGTCAATCCCAGCGACGTCGGGTGTGTAGTGGCGGATAATAGGAGGAGTTGTTTGGTAGGAAGTCGGTATGCGGTAGAGTATATCGGATAACGTGGGATTTTTTCAGAAACGGGAAAGGCTGTTGGAAAACCAGGTGGCGAACAACTCGAGCAGCGGTGAGGTATCGTCGGGTATCAGTTCTGACGTTGATGATTCTGAAATTCTTATAGGCGAACAGGTGATTTAATAATTTACTGTTTTTAGATGTTCTTTTTTTATGTATTAGGGTCGGTTCTGATTCGTGCAAGTCAGGACAACTGTTCTTAGAGTAAATGTAACAACAAAAATATTTAAAGCAGAAAACTATTTACAGTTCTTTCAATAATATCACGGTATCACATAAATCGCACAAAAAATGTGGTCTAAAGGTATCGTGTAAGTTAAACAGTTAAAAACACGACGAGATAATAATAAACATGGAAAAAAGGCCATTCATATTCGTAGAATCTTATTGAATCACACACGGTTCGTGATCCAGTGGTTCGAAGCGTTAATACTTGAATTGATGAATGCAACTGTCGCGGGTTCGATTCCTGTGGCACCAACACCGTAGATCAGCTGTATTCATAGAAAGGAATTAGGCACCCTCTCTGCGGGTATGGTAGGGTGGAAAAACGTTGGCTTGGGTCAATGTGAGAGATTGATACCGGTCAGCGTTTGACCACCCCCCTGATTATTGTTAGTTTTTCAGATTTCTCTCATTCCTTCATCATAATAATATGCCGCCCCCTCTCCCACACAAGTCTCCGACTCCTGGGCTAATCCTTACAATTAGAATGAGGAGATACTATTATCACAGGGGATGTGGATTAAATGTTGCCTATCTACAGGCTGAAGCAGAATCAGTGCATATTATGTATTCCCGGTTTCTAATTATACTTTAATCGTTATTATATGTTATTTATTTACAGTTCAATGCCGACTTTCACGTTTTATGCTAACCCTCTCGTGTATCATAACTTTGCTACATTACATCATAAAAGTTCTCCCGATCATACACTATTTATTTATTTTTCGAAACCACGGCCAATGTACATGGGCGTAGCTACAAATTTTTCTTGGGGTGGGCCCAGGGTTGCAAAAAAATGCTCTCGCAATCAGCAACTTACCGATATGAAATTTGAACACATTTTGATTCAGGTCAGACAGTTAGTGACTTTTACCGATATGACAAAGATGATAATATTAAATCTTTTTTTCTGGGGTGTGCACCAGACTTTCTGGGGTGGATCGTGCACACCCCTGCGCCTCCCCCCCTAGCTACGCCCATGCCAATGTAAAATGAAACTTCACCAATCAGGCCAATTATCCTGTAGGTTTGGCACTTATTTTTTTTCTGATTTGTCTACGTCATTAAAGAAACGTTTTTATTGATGCTTATACGCTTTGTTACATTTTGTAGGCTGTCATAAATCGTTCTCGCTATATGGCCGATGACAATTCTGTAAGTGTCAATTTTTTTATTTTTTTTGGGAATCAGTGTACCACACTTTCGCTTTTTGTTACCCCCAGGTCATTCACCTTGCCGTCACACCGCTTATACGGGGCATTTTGGAAATAGTTGTTAAAAATTTTGGCGATTCTACTCTTGAAAATAATAGTTCCTATGAACTTTTTTTTAAAGCAGCATTTTACCATAATTTTTTTAGTTTAGGCTTACAGATTTGGTACACTTATTATCATCGATGATAAACGATAAAAGGACCAACAAACGATTATACTAATTCTCCAACATATTTTGAATATGATGAGATATAACCTATAAAGTCAATGTCACTGCTATTCAATGCCTTCTGGCACAAAGTATTTGTACCTACTAACAGATTAACCTACTAGTCTCTTAAGTATTGTGAAAGTATGATTAGTATGTTGTGCTGTGTCAGTAAGTACAAATTTGTATAGTTACGATCTCAATTGGAACCGCATAAAAACATTTAACTCATAAATTCTACGGAATTCATAGACGTCCAGAAAAATTTAGCCCTGTCTCGTCTAGATATACTATATTCCGAGCTATATTACCATATAATTACCATACCATTGTCAAGTCTTTTATGTTTAAAATCGCATTGTAATATCAAGATAATCGCTTAATTTATCTCGAATCATTTTTAAAGAAGGAACTTTATTTTCTTTATACATATTATAAATTGTGCGCCACATTACATCTGGTAACATCGTCAATTTTCTTTAATTTTGTATTTTTCCGTTTCCTCTTTGTACCGAGATCAATCTTTCTTTATTAATTACGCTATAAATTGTCGTTTTTGATATCTTAATTAATTCGTTAATACATTTCTTAACTTTTTTATCACATTGTTCACTATTTTCAATTTTCAAACATTCATATATATTTAATATAATACGTTGACTTTTTACGTGTAAATCTTTGTTTTTAAACTCTAAGTTTGTTTCGATACTTTCGACCGGTTCCACTATTTGGAGATTTTTCCAAGTTATTTCGTTATCCGTTTCAAAGAGTCTCCAGAGAGCCACACTAAATTACTAGATAATTACATATAACATTTATTTTAATAACTTACCCTTTACTGGTTACGACATGAACAAATAATATCAACTAATAAATAATACATATTATACCAACAACATACCCGGCCAAGCAATGCTCCGCACTGCATTGGCAAAGCGGCAAAGCTAAGTGAACCCGTGTACCATTCAAAAAAATTATTTACGACCTAGTGGACCAATACAGGTTTGCTTTGTTGACCAGCGTGCCGCTGTCAATTCTACATCAGGCGTACTAGTTTACCAATACCCGGACTCGCCGAATTGCTATTCGAGTATAAATTACGAGACACATCATGGTCACCGCATAGAAAGAAATTTCTGGAGAAGGGCATACGGTCCTGTGCTTTAAGATTTACAGGTTCCAATTGACATCGTAACAACTTTACAAAGTAATGTTTTGTCCCAGTAGGCACTGAGTAGCAATGACATAAATGTCAGTACACATACATCTAATTAGTTAAATCGTTTGTTAGTCGTATAACCAATGGCATTGCTGATGTATTGTTGAAAATTAATAAGATCGAAATCAGACTGTTTAGTGATTCTTCTGACGAATGTTCTTATATAAACACTAGATAGTAGGGGTGTAATTCACTGATGGATGTGACATCTAGAAGTTGTTTCCTACACCAAACTACATCTACCAAAAAAATATCAAAATTCTACAGCTGTAACGAGCGAAATGCCTTTTGTTCAATAGAGGAGAATACATGACTTTTTTATTTGCGGTTCTTCAAAATAAAGAAACAGGTTAATACTAAAAATTGTTAAAAATCATTGTCTTATTCCTCCAAGTCGATAAAATTGACCATTTCCAAAAAAAATTGTTTTGAGACAATCCAAAAAATGAGTTAAATGCAGTTTCTTGTAGTGTAAACAGGACAAGGTTTAAAAATAAACAGAGGTTTTGTTTTATACAAAAAAATTTGCCAAATCATAATCGAATAATATTTCATGATATTTCAGTTTGAAAGCAGGGGCGTCCGCGCACCTAGTGCATTTATAATAAATCATTTTATAATATTGTAGAATGATTATCCGGTTCCGTATTAAAAATCTGGATGAGCTCTGACAAATATCTGTAACATTACATATGTCTCCGCAGTAAATTCTTTAAGCGATATCCACAATGGAGAAAAAATTTTCTTATATAACGAAAACGATTGGTCGACATCTAATGATGTTATAGGTGCATATTTGAAGTAATTTCTAAAAGCAGTTAATGAATCCGTGGGAGCACAATTGCTGTGAAGGTGTCTTAATCTAGAGAAATCTGGATTTTTTCTTAAAACATCAAATTTGTCTTTGACGCAAACACTTTTCTCGTCACTTAAGGCATATAGCACTATTTGTATGTCATCTACTATTTCCAGTGATTCATCTAATGATAATGCAGTATTTTGTAAGTTTTTTAAAGCGTCAGCAATTGGAATGTAATTGCTGTGAATATTTTCCAACTATGCTTCAACTCGATTATCTTGAAATTTTATTTGGCTCTTCCGATTCTTTGGCATCGAATTATAAAATTACAGATTTTATTTTTTGAAAATGTTGAAAATAATGAAATGATGCCTCTAACCATGCCCCCCATTGTATAAGAATGGGTTTGGGAGGTTCTGGAATGCCAGGACACTGTTGGTGGAATTGACGAATACGTTTCAGGGATTTGAGAAACACTGCTATTAATTCATCTACATTTGGGTAACGTCGATGAATTGTTTCTGTTATAAGATGTAATGCGTGCAGAAACAGTTGTTTGCTGGTACTTAATTTCGACATACCTATGTATTTATTTTTTTAAGACACAAAAAATCTCGTCATTAAAGAAAGAACAAAAAACATATATCTGATATGCTGCGACGCAACGTGACCGGATACTACCTACCCACTGCTGTCGATAGAATGACGATTATTGTCGATTCTGGTTTTAATTGTTATTCCTAGTGGCGCGGCGGCGTGGCATATCTACCTAGCTGTATGTTAATGGAAACGAACTAAAAATGTCGTGCCTTAATAATAATTTACCAGGATCAGAATGGGAATGATTTTTTTTCTAGGAAACATTAATGTCATTGATTTGTAAGATTTTTTGATTATCTTTAAGCTGAAAAATCCTCAAATAAAAGTGTACGATAATTTAAACTCTTATAGAATTTTGTTTGGCTTGCCAAAGTTTCTTCTGAAGAGAAGAGCGATATGCTTCGAAACGTCAAGAACTGTAATCTGGTAACTTGGTAACCATCCGGCAAATAGTCCCTTTCAAATGTGAAAAAAACTCTTAATCCATAATTATTTTTAAGAGTAGAATCACTCTATTTTTTGCATATATTTCCAAAACACCCTGTATTACCTTGCAATTTTAAACACAATGAAATGTACCACCTTTTACAGTATGCAGAGTGTTTTTAATATGTAGTTCTAATTCGTAGTGTGAAATGATTTAAAATAAAAGCATTTTTTGCAAATATATTTAAATTTAATACAAATTTTCTAAATTTATGGCATTAAATAAACACTCTGTTTGAAAAATAAGAATGTTTCCTTTTAGTTCCAAAATTTGTGCTTTGGGTGTTCCGTAGCAGATGTTTCTGGTAGCTGTGTATTTTTTTCCATTTCAAGTATCCGATATGTAACCGGAGTTCGTTTCAGGAGGTCCAACGTAGGATAACAGAAAGGACTCACCTTCTGCCTCGTTCATCCCCCGAAAGAAACGAACAGGCCATCGGATTCTTCAATGCCTGCTGCATACCAGGCGTCGTAGAATTCTCACTGGCGTTGTTCTTCTCCAAATTAGTCGGTTACACTTTCCTCTATTGGCTTCCGTTGTATGTGAACGCTTCCAGTAAGTATCCGAGACAAAAATCTACTCAACCTTGAAACAAACGACTCTCAATATATCTTTTGTTTACAAATGAGCCTTCTTGATGTTAATTTCTCTGCGCAGCGACCATGGGCGCCACGCTAAGCGCGGACATGTCGACGTTATACGATGTTGGTGGTATAGCGGGTGCCATCATAGCCGGGGTAGTTAGCGATAAGACGGACATGCCAGCTATTACTTGTTCCGTGATGTTGGTGCTCACCGCCCCAATGGTTAGTATCGTAAACGAGTCTACTGAAGCGTTTTAATTTTTACCAACCTTTCAGCTAGTGGTGTACCAGAAATTAAGTACCGTCAACTTGGGCTTGAACATGATACTGCTGGTGATAGTGGGGTTGTTGGTGAACGGGCCTTATGCGTTGATCACGACTGCTGTCGCTGCGGAATTGGGTACCCACCACAGCTTGGAAGGCAACTCCAAGGCGTTGGCTACCGTCGCGGCTATTATTGACGGAACGGGGTCCATCGGTAGGTGTATTTTGTCGTGTTGGTGAAATTTCTGCTCGACACGTTTATTTTTTCAGGTGCTGCCATTGGACCTCTCTTGGCCGGGTTCGTTTCCGGCTACGGTTGGGAGAGCGTCTTCCTGATGCTGATGATTTCTGACATTCTAGCTTTTATTTTACTGTTGCGACTGGCAAAGCACGAGTTTGTTAAGTATAGGAACGCACGCAGGGCCGGGATACGGATAGAGTAATGTTCCTAGCGTTTATTAAATTAATTTCTAATACTATTCGATGTATGTGATAATCAAATCAGATTTATTAGAACATATTTAATTGTATTTATATGTGTATAGATATCGAGTACGTATTTTATTACAACTTTTAGAGATGTTGGATGTTTAAATTTTTTTATTCTGTAAGCGTCTGAATCTTGCCTCACTGAATAGTACAATGTAACATGTGAATTGGTATTAGAAAATAAAGAAATAAACAAGTTATTTACCAGAATAAATTCTTACTGGGTTGTATTTTATATAAAGTGATATGCATTTATAATTTTTTTTAATGTATGTTGACGAAAATTAAAAAACGTTTGTTTATATTTTAATCATAACATAATTATATATAATTGCACAAAATGCACCATTAATTGCAGAGTATATTTTAAAACCGAGATTTTGCATTCATTTTTTGAACAATCAGTACAAACTTGTTTTTTTGTGTTACCTTAGTATATTTATAAATTATACAGTTTATTTGTTATTGTTTTTGTTAAATAGATAAATTATATTTTGCACCGTTATTGTTATCTTAGTTATGGGTATCTAACTTCAAAATGTGCATCCATCTTTTTAACAAATTAGTTAATTTTTCTTGTAAATCTGTCGCATTAGTATTAATTTGTCTTAGATAGCATTCCGTAAATCAGAAGTGGGATATTTTCCATTTTTAGTACCACTTTCGTAATTCTGGTTGATATTTAACCACACACACATTTTGAGAACCGAAAAAACCTTATAAAAATGGAAAATAAGTACTCTTAACTTTATGCCAAAAGGAAATCAGTATGAGACACAAAGGTATTTTTTTAAATCTACAGAAATTAGTGAATTTCTTGTATCATTCGTTGTTTTATTATACTTTTATATTGCCTCTCTAATGTATTTGCTTGTCAAAATTATTTTATAGGCCATCTTTACAACATTCATAAACTTTATGTTGATAATAGTAAAATTGTTTATTATTATTATTTTAGGGTTTCACATATTTTGTCATTACATCTCAACTTTTGTTTAATAATAATTGTAACAAAACTTCAAAGAAAATAATTTAATTATGTATAATTCTAGACAATGATAAAGTATATTTATTTATTTATAAAAGACTTTTTTTTACCTACTTCCGAGGCATTACAAACATTTCAGGTTAATTTAAAAATTTTATTTAATACTAAAAAATAATTAAATGTTGAAACAAAAATCTTGTACATTTTAATTAGTAGTTTACATTAAAATGTACAATACACTGCTAAAGCGATGTAGCTTCAATAACTTAAATCTTACAATGACATAAACTAATTAAGGAGTTCCCACGGGTATAATGAACGATATGTGATCGGCAAAAGCACCCCAACTAGCTCTGTTCAACTGGAAAATGGTAACCCATGTAACTAACAACATGAACCAAATCGCTGATCCAATCGCAGAGAAGATAACATCTAAAAGTTAAAGCTGTTACAGCACTCGTAAATATAACAATTATTTCACTTACATTTCCTAATTTGTTTCTGTTCTTCATATTCGGGCTTCCTGAATGCTTCATTGTAGAACCAAATAGCGTTAATGGTCCACACGAAGGGCAAAAGAGCACATCCAACTAAAACATGAAGAGGTGAAGGGACTAACCTCACTTTTGTGACAGCCAAGTTACCTCTGAAATACCACCTGCACAGGTTAAGCTTCTTGTCGTTAGGCACCTTTGCTAAATCCATATTTCATCTACTAAATAAAATAACTTAAAATTAAACTTCTCTAAAACGAACTAGTGACAGTGACTATTCATTCACAAAAACTAAAAACCACAAACAAACAAGGAAGTTGACACTGTTGACAGTTGACGAGATGACACTAAACTTAATAAAATATTTCTTTCTTCTGCAACTTTACTTACAGTTCAAAGTAATACGTGCTGCCTATACAGCAGTAAATGCTCTGACAATATTAGTATTGGAACAGAGTCGTATTATAATTATTTAAAATTTTTATTTCATAAACAGTATATGTAGGTATGTATGTACATACTACCTGTCTGTAACCATTTTGTCAAGTTTAAATTTGATTTTAAGTGTTATCGATGGTAATAATATTTTCATAGTCTTTTATAATATATCAAGTTTGATTTGTATGGAACCAAGTTTTATTATTGTTATAATGGTCAAAGTTTATTAAAATAGATTTGGAGATGGATTCAACATCTTGAGGACTTTCTCATTATGAGGACAACACTGAGTCCGCCCCTGCTAGGACAAATAGAAATTAATACCTGCCCCCAGGCACCGCCTTTGTTTACATACATACATCCGTTTGTTTCAGTTTGTTTATAACAATCGACGGTAGGCATCAGTACGGCGAAGAAAGAAACATGAGCGGTGACTGAAGCGTGTTTATAGCCAAGATTAATGTTGCAGAACCGGTTGTGCTATATATATCAAGTTGCATATTCAAATTATAATGTCCCCATTTAATCAACCGTAGACCAAGCACTTTAATTCGAGTGAGGGATATGGTCGAGGTTAGGGTTTGGATTAGAAGCAATAAGTGTTTGAAGATGTGACGTTGGCGTTAAGAATCGCAGCAATTAACCTTGCGGTAAACTGAACACAATAGAGTGTTATTATACGGTTTATTACCCATTTTCAACAATCCCATTGATTTTCATTTGTTCTCGTTCACACAGCCACTTCGATCCGATCAATAAGTTCCCGTTTGTCGCCGATACAAACCGTCTGCGCGCCGTTTTCCCTCGAATAACCTAAGAAATTCGACACCGATGCCTTTTTTGACGGGTGCAATAAATTAAAACAGTTTATCTCCTCGTTGTAAATCACCCCCGGCTGTCCAAACGTTGGTAGTGTACCACGCAGCAGAGTGTTTGTGATTGCGATTAAATTCCTCTGAATCATACCGATATTAAAGGCCTAATGTTTTGGAATTTTCTTTTACATTGATCAAGGCAAATATCATGTGATTATGGTCCGGAAACCCCTAGGAAACCGGCATAAGTCGTAGTGATCGCGAAGTATAACATTTTTTTCGAAATGAAATTGATTCCAGTGACGTACCACGGCTTCACCGCCATGGATAAGAGGTTTTCCAGCCCCATGCTGCCTTGGATAGTGTCGGAAATCAGGAAGAGAGGGTACAGCGAAAAGGTATTTATAAAATAATGTACAGGGTGACTTAATTTGGTTGATTGCGGGGTAAATCTTAAATAGTGGTAGACATAAATTAATTAATACTTATAGGTACCTCGTGCTCTTTTTTGCTCAAATTCTGGCTAACTTGATTGATTTTCGATATACAAAGGGATCTGAACTCAAATTTTAATTGTGTATTTTAAAATTCATGTTTTCTACATGTCATATACTAATGTGACTTTAAGATATAAATTTACAACTAAAAGTATTTTTCATTACATGGGAATATAAAATTTACTTTTTCGCCGGATATATTTCATCCGGAGTTTATTTAATAAATTTAATGATGATTAGGTATATTGAATAACGAGTTCTTTATTAAAGAACTACAGCCATGTCTTTTTAAAAATATAGAATCGAAGACAGTAGGTACCTAATAATAAAGTTAGATTTAAGGGTTATGTCTAGTTCCAAATTAATGTACTTACCAGTAACTATAAAAATTAGGAAATATTTTGAACTCTAGTACATATGTTCTATGTATATGTTTAGTATGCTTCATTTCTTGCAGTATTTACTATTTACTATAGTAGGTACTGACTATATGTATGTATAGGTACTTAAATTAATAGTTATTTTTTGATATGGTTTGAATTTTTGTTCAATAAATTTCCTCCTGGAGGTTAGGTAGGTTAGATTTATATTATTTTTTTTATCTAAATAGGTTTACCTCTATATGAGTTGACAAAAAAAGTCTTAGCCTTAACTTAGTCTTAATGTAGCCTTAGTCCTTGCCCTAACAAGTTAAACATATAGATTTCAATGTGTTAGTTTATCAACATCCTAACCTAGTCTTAGTCTTAAGGAGGACTTAAGGCCTGACCTTGAAAGTTCCTATCTTAAGACTAAGATTAATACACGATAAATGGCATGCGCAAAAGTCTTCATTGAATTCTTAAGAGGAGGTTAAGTCATGTCGTGGTATTAGTCTTAGTCCTAAGAAGTTAAAAAGTAGGAACTTTTAAAGTCAGGTCTTAAGACACGGAGACTAGACTAAGCCTAAGGGTAAGATCAGGGTAAAGTTACGGTTAAGTTTAGACTAAGATATCTTTAAGTATAAACTTATCAATAATTTTTCTTAAATCAATAAGGAACAAAATTTACTTTTTAATACGTTTTTTTTTCTCTGTGCAAGTTAGATTATGTCGATTTATATTGAGTTTTTCTTTCCTTTTTCTAAATATATCTGAGGTTAGATTGGATGAGGTTAAGTTTTCTTTTATTTGCTTGTAACACAATTAGATCAGATCAATTTACCTACATCCGCTGTTTCACATGAATATTATGAATCTTTCTTGATAAGTGTTTGTTTTTCTTTTCTTATGTTTGAAAGTTCATCTCATTTTAAAGATTAGGTATCGAGAAAAATGTTCAAACATTCCGTCTTATTATTTTGCATATTGCAGTCGCATAATAAGTGATTTTTAAGGTCTTTCTTCAATTTTTATATAAATTTTGCGCAACCCTTCTTTAAAGAAAATAAGTCCTCGGAAAATAATTTTCCGTTTTGATGTGTTTCCACTCCAAAAAGAGGTACATTTTTTTCCAGCATTTCTGGTAAAAAAATATACCTTTAGATGTGACAATTAGGTATAAATAAGTCCACATCACTTTCTACTCTAAGCCGCATAAATTTTTGTGATCTACAATAATAGGCCAGTAAAAATAGGATGTTGCCTGAAAATAATTCCTGGAAAGCTGGAAATCGTTTTAATCATTTTGTTTTACATCGAAATGGAGGGATTTGAAGTTTGTCCTAATTTTCCTACTGAGGTTCAAATTGGCACCACGAAAACATCGAAATTTTTGGGCTTTTTTTGCAAATAACTCCAAAACCGTTCTTCCTACAGAAAAATTATTCTGTCTTAAATTGTAGAGCACAAAATTCTGCGTTGATTGACTATCCTATATCCGCCAATAATGAGCAAGGTATGGGAAGTCAAAAAAAGTAATTTTTCCCGACTTTCCTGAAACATGAAATTGGTTATTTGACTCAACACAAAATCTGGTAATGTTATCCAATTAAAATTAGTTTCACGGATATTAGAGTTTAGAATAATGATGTTATAACCTGCAATTAATCGAATATACATTAACACAACGATTATTTTGTAATTGTGTATTCAAAATATCGGCGAAATCAAGATGGCGGACGAAATTTTTAAAAGTTAACCGATTGTTACCACATTTTGTATACAGAGGTTTTCGAGGCCGCTGATCACGAATTCGAGGTCAGATTGGTGGATGGGTTTTTTAAAATTTAATCAATGGGGATCAAATTTGATATACGGGGGTTTTGGGGGTCACTAACCCCACATTCGTGATTAGCAACCCCAAAAACGGCCCTATACCAACTTTGATGCAAATCGACTGATTTTCAAAAAATTCCTCCGCCATCTTGAATTTTGCAAATTTGTCCTCGAATTCCTGATCAGCGACCCCCAAAACTTCCGTATACGGCGTTTGGTGCAAATCGGTTGATTTTCGAAAAATTCGTCCGCCATATTTGATCCGCCATCTTGATTTTTTAAATCCCATCTCGGATTCGTGATCAGCGACCTCGAAAACCTCCGTATACAAAATTTGGTGACAATCGGTTAACTTTCAAAAATTTCTTCCGCCATCTTGATTTTGCCTCCATTTTGAAATTTATGAAATGGTTAAGGTCATATCTGAACGTAAAATTTTTCCGCTCTTTCCACTTCCGGTGTCAAAAAGGGGGGGTTCCCATTTAAAAAATCATCTTGATCCCATAATGACCACGTGGTCACTGGTCAAGGCATGGTCACCATTGAATAGCCATGAAAAATCCTAACTTTCCCCATATTTGATTTTTTCGGAAAATGCATACCGCGAGATTTTTTGGGTTTCCCATACTTTTATACCACCCTGTATATTTATATTTTTATGTGGAAATAGACTATTATTGTTAATTTCATAGTTTTATTTTTATTTTTAATATGGATTTCTACTATTCCGCAGCAAATGATACAGATTTTACAGAAATGATATTTACCGGTTGCGTTTTTATAAGTGATTTCATCTGCTCGAAAGGTAAGTAATTATATATCGATGGGATTCAATGTTCAAGGTATTAGTTTAACAGAACTATTCGGCTAGTTATACATTGCTAAATACGCGAAATAGTTCATTCAACGGATATTTGGCTTGACTTTGGTTTTTATGAGTTCTTAGAAAAAGTTGGAAAAAATTACTATTTTGTACTTATCATATCTTGCTTATTACTGAAAGAATTTTTAACATCAGTTGATGCATAATTTTGTGCTCTACAATTTAGGACAGAATAATTTTTTCTGTAGGATGGATGGTTTTAGAGTTATTTGCGACAAACTGGAAATAGTCCAAAAATTTCGATGTTTTCGTGGTGCCACGTCCAAAGCTGACTAGGAAAAAATGGGACAAATTTCAAATCCCTTCATTTCGACGTAAAACAAAGTGATTAAACGATTTCCAACTTTCCAGGAATTATTTCCAAGCGCGGCCCCTTTTTGAACTAATTTTACTGGCCTATAACGGACCGACGACGATATATTTTATATCGCATTTGTTGAGTAATATCTTGCTTAGCAACAATGCCAAGTGAAATGTAGGTAATCATTTTTGGTTGAATGTATGTTCGGTAGATTGTAAAAAAATACAAATCGAAAACACTGAATATTTAAATTAAATCATATTTTATTATTTTCATTCATATTTTCAAAACCAACATTTCAATTCACCAAGTTACTATGATAAATACCTAAGAGCCCTCCAACTCTCTATGCTCAGTGTACACCGAGATATCATTTCATTTGTATGTACTAGAGTTGCTTAGCTTTCAAAGAAAAGTCAAAGCGCGACTCAACTCAACTAGAAACTAGGCTATAACTCTTTTCCTGAAGGTTTTTCCAGTCGATGAATCCAAATCTGACCTCAGAATTGCTGAAGGTTTTTACTCCAGTCGATTTAGATCATAAAATCTGAAAACTTGAAAAAATTGTTAGTAGACATTTTATTGCACTTTATGATGGGGAAGAGTTTGTAGAATGATAATATCGAAAAAGTAACTCGAAAGAAGTGACGCTAAGTTGGCAAATTTCAAAGAAGTAGCAAAATTACGTGTTTTTTCAATTTTTTTACTGCCCACGTAAATAAAGGTCGGATGCGGAAAAGTTAGTTTTCGAAAATTGCTCATTATTATTGCAAAAAGCTGTGGATTTTGATGAGTTACGTGCTGTCCACCAGCCGCGTAAACATCGTCGTTGAAAGATAGAAAGATACTTCTCAATTTTTGGGGAATTTTTCAATGCAAAAGTACAAACTAAGAAAAGCAGATATAAAAAAACTGATATTTTCTTATTATAATATAATTAATAGTAATTACTATCTTAAATGCATTGTTGTTACCGCAAGAGTTCGCAAATAAAACCACATCCGTAAGCATCTGTAGTTACCAACTGCGTGCACTAAACAAACTCCATTAAAATGTGGAATAAAATTCTAGAGAAAACGTTGAAATTAATCTCCATTAGCGCGGATACAGGCATGGCACCGACGACGCACCCAATTTTGACGATTATTTTCCCAAATTCCAGGTGTTCCCCTAATTGTGTTGGCAGCTTCAAGTATACGGTTTGGCAATTCTTCCCTCGTAGCAATTGGAGTATTGTAAACCAATGATTTCAAGTGACTCCAAAGATAAAAGTCCATTGGAGTTAGATCGGGTGACCGAGGTGGCCACGGCACAGGACTAAAGCGTCCAATCCATCGCTTAGGAAACATTTCATTCAAAAGTGTCGTTACTTCTCAAGTACTGTGTGGAGGAGCCCCAACTTGAAAATAAAACATGCGTGCCCGAACTTGTAATGTCACATTAGCCAATAATTCAGGCAACAGGTTCTCCAAAAAGTCAGCATATGTTGGTCCATTTAGTAGTCCTTCAAAGAAATAGGGCC